CCTTACTCCTTGTACAAGGAGGGTTACAGGACTCGGAGTAAGAAGTCCTCCAGCCTGTCAGTATTTTGACATTATTTCAAAATAACTGCCTGCTGTATAGATGCAGAGTAAGTTATTTTGAAATAATGTTGCTGTGTAGACATACCCTTATTTTCACTTCTATATTTTGTTTAAACAATTGATCAAAATCTCCTTTTAACTGCACGCAGTGTAAATAGAACTGGTCAGAACTGTTTTGCAAGACCCCCCACATTTTTTTGGTGAACAATGGTTGGCATTTACTTGGTTTAGAATGGTTTATTTTTTTTTATTCTGAATTTGTGTTTTCCTGAATGCAGATGCAATGTATGTACCTTTGCCACTGAAAAACCCGCCAGCCCTTGCAATGGCAACGATGGAAATAAAGAAGTAGGAATTAGCCAAAATACCAGAGTTAATGGCCCTCGTTTTGCAATAAGCACCATTGGATGTTTAATGGCCATCGTCATATTTCAGACCTTGCATCTCAGTCTTACTGCCCTCTTCAGTAGAGATCTGCTACTGAAAAGTGCAATATAAGAACAAGATATTATTACATCTCAGCTCAGTGCCAACATCTTCAAAAATGCATCTCTCCGACAACATACTAGGAAACAGGATCAGAGAGAAGAGTGCCACCTACCAGCGTATTAATCCCACTTCCTGCATCCCTCCACACTTGCTTTGGAGGCTTTCCCTCAAAGTCCTATCATGTAAGATTTCTATGCGATTTCTGCTTGAGATAGAAATAGTCACAGGTAAGTATGTTATTAAAGCTGTGGCTTTGCCAGACTTGTGCTGCAGCTGAACAAGTGGCTTTAGGAGTTGCTACATGCATTTTAAGTGACAAACAAAAATACCCTACCCTACCACACTTTCCCCAAAGTAAGCCACCACGCTGTGTCCTGCTTCCCAGTGCTCATCCTCAAAGGAAACCTGCACAACAACGTCAAAAGATGAACCTGGGAGCTTAAATTCATAACTTTGCTAGATACTAAAAACCATGGATTGAATAGAGACACTGGATTTATCGTTTACTAGCAGCACCTCCTGCTGGCCAGCCTGGGAATTAGCCCCTCCAGGTTGTGCCCTCCCTGCAGGGGTGTCTTGCCCTATCCTGTCTCATCTTGTGGCCATCTTGTGGCCCTCTTCCCTGCCTTTTGCCCCCAGGTACATCCTCCAGCCCCCAAGCACAGACCCTTGCCCTGCCTTCCCCTCCCAGATCCCAGGCGCCGCTCCCTGCCCTCCACCTCCTGATGTGGGGTTAACTCTACACTCCGCTTCCCTGCAGCTCCCACCTCCATGGGGAGTTTGGGAGGGCGTGACTGCTGCTGCCTTGCTGGGCCAAACACCCTGGTAATCCCCAAGGTCACATCCCTCGGGGGATGGGTTGTCCTGGGAGAAGAAGGCAGGGTGATGGCTGGAAGGGACGGGGACTAGAGACAGCCCCTCCTTCCCTCTCTATAAACAACATTCCTGACAACCACGTCATTTGAGGTGATCCATTGTCCAGACGCTCTGGGAATATGAAAGGGACATTGATCAGAGTACACCCTGACATTCTGTGGGTCTCCAACTCGGCTCAGGGCAACATACATTTATCAAACTTCTCAAGTCTTCCAGTGTATTCTCAAACATTCTCTGACAGATGGCATGATGGACACCTCTCCTTTATAATAGTAACATGGAGCATTACAACAATCTATAACCCGCTTTACCTTCCTCCCCCAGGTTTTTCCCCACTTTCCACCCTCTGACTGGAGAGGTGGCAAAATAGCCCTTGGCAATATGCGTTAATTACTTATACTAAATGATCTATTCCACCTTGTGGTTCCACCTATGACATTCTGAGTACATTTCCCAGACTTGAAGAAGAGTTCTGTGCCGGCTTGAGAACTTGTTTCTCTCTCACCCACGGAAGCTGGTCAAATAAGAGATATTATCTCATGCAGTCTCACACTAAAATAGTGGCAACAACACTGCATATGACAATAACTGACATTTAAAAATCTGAAGGGCCAATCCTGAACAACTCTCTTGTAGTTGTGTGAGTATAGTGAAGATTTTGACCTTCTGGTCATTATGCATCATAGCCAGGATCTCTCATTCAGTGCTGCAAATGCCAAGCTATATAAGGGTGAGTCAAGAACAGAATTTCAGCCTTAACTCTGAATGTCTTAACATGGGAAGGTGGAAAATGGACATGCAGTGATTTCATTTTAGTTGGTGTAAGAAAACGTTATATGCCGCTGAAATCTCTCCGATGGCGTTTCCACGCCATAACAGGATTTTTCTTGTTTTCTAATGTACTGCATTGTTCCTCGTGCTCCTAATTATTGTTCCATTCAAAAATCTGTTTCACGGGAGTTTCAAAAGGCACTTCTGTGTAGGCAAGCAGTAGAGCACATAAATAATTTCACAAAGTATTAAACAGTGGAAGTGGCACAGCTCTCCACTCCAAGCTGACTGTGGTGGTGTTTCAATAAACCCCTAAGGCTTTACAATAAGTTACTACAATCTCCCCATGTGGCTGAATGACAGAAGAGAGGGAGGAGACCACTAAATATATTAGTCAACATATAATTAAGAAAATGGGCTCTCATTCCCACTAGTGACTTAACTTAGCAGGAGAGGATTATTTAAAACGTTGCTTTCTGGTCCCACCAGGGAAATCAGCTTAATGACTTCAAGGGCAAAAAAGGACCCATCATTGGCAGATCTAAACAGCTGTGTCTAGACTGGCATGATTTTGCGGAAATACTTTTAACGGAAAAGTTTTTCCGTTAAAAGTATTTCTGCAAAAGCGCGTCTAGATTTGCACGGATGCTTTTGCGCAAAAAGTGCATTTGCGCAAAAGCATCCGTGGCCAGTCTAGACGCAATTTTGCACTAGAAAGCCCCGATCGCTATTTTAGCCATCAGGGCTTTTTTGCACAAAACAGTTCTTCCCTGTCTACACTGGCCCTCCTGAGCAAGTATTCTTGCACGAAAGGGCTTTTTCCTGAGCGGGATCGTGAAAGTATTTGCGCAAGAAGCACTGATTTTGTACATTACAAAGTCAGTGCTCTTGCGCAAATTAAAGCAGCCAGTGTAGACAGCTGGTAAAAATCTTGCCCGTCTAGATGCACCCAACAGGTTTAGTCAGTAAGGTCCACCACTGAGACAAAGGAGATATTTTTGTAATGGTTTACTGAAGAAAAGACACGATTAATTTAGAGGATCTGTCTTTTCCTGGCCTCTATTATTCTGTCTGTATCAAATTTCACATCTTGATCCTATGTTTGTTGCCCTACTAGGATCACAGTATTCTGGAAGTTTCTGTTTCAGTTAAGGACTTTCATAAATTAAATCACCAGGGAACAGGAGCCAGATTACCCCTCTTGCAGTAAAACCCATAGGAGAAGGGGAGGAACATGTTCTGAAGGTGCCTTTTCAGAATTTCTTCTCTATTGTTCTATGGAATGGAGGGTCCTCTGGGATGATATATGAGGCCTAACCATAACCCCTGTAGATCTGATCACAATGAAGCCACAGCCTACTGCATAGAGGCCTCAGTTAGCTCTGAGCTCCTAACAGTTCCTTTTCCCCTGGCCACATGACTCCACAAAAAGAATTAAAATGTTTGTTTTGCTGTTGGTTCCATTTTGGCAAGACAGTCTCTGCTATGGAATTTTTTCCCTTAACAGGGGGGCAGTGGTAGTGATTGGTCATTTAAGCATGGGTGAGAAAAGGAGAGAGGATTTTGTAAACAACGGCTTAAAGATTCCCCGGCTTAAAGACATCTGGCAAATTCTGAATCAAAGAACAATTCCTCTTCTCTCTTTTGGCAGACTTTGGAAAACAAGTATTTCAGGAGACAGTACTCTTCCTTGGCAAGTTTTAATCCAGCAAAGATAAACCAGTTGCTTGATTGTGTGATCTGTACAATAGTCTTCCAAAAAGTCCCCAGAGTGGCTCCACTACTTGGGCCATTTAAATTCGACCAGAGAAGCCACTGGGAAATTCTCAGAAGACGAGATGATCTAATAGGTCTCTGCCATCTTTTATTTGGGCCAAATCCTTCTCACCTTACCCACTCAGCCACTCCTGTTTCCACCAACCCAGGAGCTGAGCAAGAGAAAACTTCACATTTGTGAACTGTAGGGATACCTTCCATAGCCAAGAGTCAGATGGGAACTCGTGTGTGATTCAATTACATACATCAGGGTTATCAGACAGAGCTAGGAATGGACCTGCTGCATGGAGCATTGCTGTTGAAGTTGAGAGAATTGAGCAGACCGTGTTGCTTTCAGAGAGATTAATATTCCTCCCACCTCCCAGGCCTTGGCTGGATTCAAAAATTAGCTGTAGTCATCCTCTCATTGACTATTGACAGATATTTCTCTCCCCCCCCCCTTCTTTTTCTGTTATGAATTGTGAGGGTCCCCCCCTTTTTCTCTCCACTCTGCTCATCTGAGGAAGTGGGTCCACGAAAGCTCATGATTCTACACATATTTGTGTTCCTCTCTAAGGTGCTACAGGACTACTCATTGTTTTTAAAGTTACAGACTAACACGGCCACCCCGCTGAGATTTTTAATCATGGTTATCTGTGAGGAATGTTCCCCCTTGATGAAAGGGAACTGCAGGCATGGACCCCATCTTGTTTGTCAGCTCCAGAGGCCTTTACTTCATCCTATACAATGACACAATTATATCAAGGCAGGATGTTAATTGATGCCATGGATACCAAACAAAATGTGTATTGTCAATAATGCCCACAGTTAAAGAAACAAATAATCTCTTCTACATTTTATTTCATAAGCCTGACATCTAGGGCACTGCAGCTTAAAAACTGTACCGGTTACTAAACAACTGAAAAGATTCAGAGGGGCAGTCATGTGAGTCTGTAACTGGAAAAACTTAAAAAACAGGGAATAGTCCTGCAGCAGGACTATTTGCTGTTTTTAAGGCTATGTCCAGAGGTATCCCGGAAAAGCTCTGCCATGTCCAAGGAATGCGTCTGCTTTTCCGAAAAAAATTTCGGAAAAGCAGATGTGTTTTTCGGCATCCTTGTAAATCTTTCGTAAGAAATGCGGAAAAAGATACCATGCTTTTTCTGCCTGTTCTTTGTACTGTAGACATAGCCTTAGTTTAAACAGATGAAATTTGCTTCAAATCAGAGGTGCCCAAAGTGTCACCAAAGGGTTAAATGTAGCTCCTTGTCACTCTCTCACCAAACTGCTGAGTGAGGATGAGATTAACTTCACATTTTTAAGTCACAGAATGCAGAAAGATCTGTAAGCCAGCTAGCCCATCTCCACACCAATGCAGAACTATTCCCTCTTGCGTACTTAATTGTTTTGTCCAGCTTGATTTTAAATGTGCCAGGCAATGATGCTTCCATGGCATCCTTTGAAATATTACCCCATAGGCTAACAATTATCTTAGATAGCCATCCTGCAACCAGCTTTTACCTCTCTCTCCCTGTGGGAAGCTCCATCCATCCCCTGCAGCAATCTCCCCCTCCTTTTGTCATCTGTGTCCTCCCCATATGCTCTTTGTCAATCAGTTTGTTATGTCTTCAGTCTTCAGATTAAGCTCCTTGGGAGGCAGGGGCATGGTCTTTTTTCCCTTGAGAAGCATCACGCTGTCCTATGTCACCAGATAAATACCAGATCTCATTGATAAACTCAAACAATACGCTATTTGATTAATCTACCCAGGCTGATATAGGTAGAAGTAAATACTATTGCGGCACAGTTGTTTTATTTTTACTATGCAAATTAGAGGCACAGCATAGCTGCCCCACAAAGCCTTACATCTCACCAATTGTGATCAACTCTGCTCTGTAGCATGCCCAGTCATGGATGAATGTACACAAAATACACTTCAAAAATGCTGAGGTTAAAAATGACGGCAAAGTAATTTAGCTAAATGAAACACTAAAAACCTAATTCAGCTAGGTAAATCTGGGGCTTTAGCAAACTGAGTAGCAAAAAAACAAAAACAAAAAACACTATGAGAACTACTGAACAGCGGCACGTTTCGGTAGGACTCTGTCAATTGGGAATGAAGTAGTAAGTACAGCAAAACAGACCTTTGTTATTTGTTTGATCTTTGTTGTTTTAAAGAGCAGTGATGATTGGAACTCTTATAACAGTTCATCTAAAAATGTTCACCCTGAGGCTTCCAGGAAGGACTGGCTTGGAACACAGGGGCTTTAGGGGAGCTCCGCTAGCCTGGGGCCCTAAGCTGCAACCCCTATAACCTCTTGCCAAATCAAAGCAAGCCAGGGCCAGATCCAGCCCATAGCCCCCGCGCAGCCCCCCCCTCCATGTGAAGGGTTCAGAATTAGATAAGAAACACCATAGTTGAAATCCACACTGCATTACCTCAATGGGAAAAGCTGTGGGGATGTAGGGATACCTTTTTTCATTTAAAAACCTAACTCAGAAAAGAAACTTTAAAAAAAATGCATGGACGGAAAGATTCACCATGTGGAATTTCTTCCCCTCTGCAGCACTCCCCCCCTCCATGTGAAGGGTTCAGAATTAGATAAGAAACACCATAGTTGAAATCCACACTGCATTACCTCAATGGGAAAAGCTGTGGGGATGTAGGGATACCTTTTTTCATTTAAAAACCTAACTCAGAAAAGAAACTTTAAAAAAAATGCATGGACGGAAAGATTCACCATGTGGAATTTCTTCCCCTCTGCAGCACTCCCCATAGCTGATTGGGTTAGCTTCCAGAGTTCTGTGTTCAATCCATCCAGCTGGCCACACGCTGTCCAGACATCTGGGTATTATTCCTGCGTCAGGGACCAATCAATACCTCCCATGATTTGAGTAAGGGCCACTCTCCTAGGGTATGTCTACACTACAGCGCTAATTCGAATTTACTTAGTTCAAATTAGTTAATTCGAACTAAGCTAATTCGAACTAACGCATCCAGACTAAAAAACTAGTTCGAATTAGCGTTTTGCTAATTCGAATTAACATGTCCACATTAAGTGGACCTTGAACCGGGGTTAAGGATGGCCGTTAACCATTGTAAGCTCAGGGCTCAGGGTCGGGGGTCTCAGTGGACCACCTTGATTTTCATGCACACCTGCTCCTAGGTGGCCAGGCTGGCAGCTCTCCTGCCCTAGATGGCCCCTTTCCTGTGCCTAGTGCGGAGGTCGTGGATGAGTCCGCACTAGACCAGGCGGGGGCCCGCCTCTTGCGGTCCCGGGCAAGCTCCCGGGAGCCGCCAGCCTGGTCCCGGGAAGACGGGGAGGGCTGGGGGGCATCGGGTGGCCGGCTCGAGCCGTGCCAGGTGCAGGGTCTGCTGGCTGGGTGCGGGCAGGCTTGCACCTGGCACAGGCACCGTAGCCAGCCCGTGCCCTTTTAAGGGCTCCGGGGCCGGGAGGGGGGCAATAGAGTTTCCCTGGTGTTGGCCAGAGTGGCCACCAGGGAAAGCTGGGGAGGGCTAGCCTCCCACTAGTTCGAATTAAGGGGCTACACACCCCCTTAATTCAAACTAGTAAATCCAAATTAGGCTTAGTCCTCGTAGAATGAGGTTTTCCTAGTTCAAACTAAGCGCTCCTCTAGTTTGAATTAAGTTCGAACTAGCGGAGCGCTAGTGTAGCGCCTATCAAAGTTAATTCAAACTAACGTCCGTTAGTTCGAATTAACTTTGTAGTGTAGACATACCCCTACTGAGGCAAGTGGTTGGGATCTGATGGGCTACCCTCAGAGACTAAAGGAAGCCAGGTGCTTCCATAGGGGTCTGAGGGAGAGTAGTGGGTTGCCAACAAACCACCTCTTTACTGAGTGTACCTTTTCTTCAACTGTCGAGGAAGATGCAGAAGGGCTATTTCAGATCCATAATCACAGTCGACCATGATTTATAGCTAACCTGCAACAAATGATATGACAAGAAAGACAGAACCTAGTGGAGGACATCATGGGCTGAGCAACTGCATCAAAAAGATCTTCTGGAGTTCTTACACAGCTGCAAAGGATAGTTTCTCAGCATCTATTTCTGTGCAGCAGGGGCCTCATCTGAGAAAAAATTGGAGGAGAGGAGACCAAGGTGTGTCAACATGCAGAACATATGTGATTATATCCTGCAAAGTTGGGGGAGGGAAGGAGAGAGAGAGAGAATGACAAAATGTGGAACATATAGACATATAAAAAGTCAGAGGGGAGGAAACAAAGCTGAGGGGTCACTGCCCCCCTTGACCCACAGAAAAAGATGCCCCTGCTAGTCAACAAATTTGTTCTGGGTGGCTGACAACCCCGCTAATAATGATTGACTGCATTCAGCTGCTGATGAGAATCCCTCCTGCTATGTAAAAGTTATTTTGCAGATTAAAACTAGTGAAATTTACACTGAGCTGCCTGTATCGTTGAAGACTTGGCAATACCTGGGGAAGTAAGTGCTATGAATTTCCCGCTTGAGTTTCAACCAATATCATATAGAGATTCCGGATCTATTGCCACAATCTGCGTAGCCTCTGTTCCAGAGTGAAGAGCTGGCAGGACAGGGAATGGACTGAATGCCCCTGAATTGCTTGAAACTTGCAGGAGAACTGATCTCCTGATTTTGTAAAAGGGACGTAAAATCCCGTTTAATCAGTTAACTGGCTAACCATTATGTTTAACCAGTTAACTGCTTAAACAGGGATCAATGAGGGAGGGCTGCTGCAGTCAGGCTGGGCCACTGCAGTCAGGGGCTGCTCCAGACAGGCTGGAGCATCCCCCCCTCCCACAGTGCTCTGCTCGGGCCAGGCCAGGCCCATTGCAGGCAGGGGCTGTTCCAGACAAGCTGGAGAGCCCCCTGGCCATGGTGCAGCAGGCTGCTCTGGCCTGGCTGGGCCCACTGCACCAAGTCACGGGGCTGGCTGGGCCTGGCTGAGCTGGAGCAGCTCCCTACCCTCTGGTTAACCATAACTGGTAAGCATCACCTAGTAAGGGTGATGCTTACTGGTGAACTGGTTAACCATTCACATCCCTAATTTTGTAATGAGTTTTATGATCATTGTTTGTACTTAAAGTCCCAGCTCCATATCAACCTTCATGATCAAGATTTCAACCTTCATTCTTCAAGAAAAAAAAGTTAGTTTCTAGTCTTCATGGACATGGAGAAAGCTTACAAATATGACCTAGTTCATCCTACACATTCTTTCTGTCTGGCTGTCTCAGGGGCGGGCAATGGAAGGACTGGGCAACTACAGAGTACCAACATTTCAAGGCTCTGTTCCTGGGATTTAAGCCAAGCTTGCAGACTGGGTTATCCTCAGACCTCAAACTGCCACCCTGGGATCACTTTCTTACAGTGGCTGTTTTTTTTGTTCCCAAGGTCTGTGTTTTTTAGGGAAAAAACCTGGAATGGCACAGCATGCTTCACAGACTTCCCTGCTCAGAGGTAGATTCCTTTTGCATATTTCTACCATCTAGAACAGCCTTTCAGTGTCCTTTCACATCCTTAGCACTGTCCCTCTCTTTTCATATCACCTCAGGAACTAATTAAGATATCCTTTCCTTCTTGCCTGTATTCCAATTTCTCTTCCCTTCTGCTATGGGCATTGTATGAGTGAACTCTATTGTCTTTCAATACAGTATTAAGAAATATGGTGCACATAAAATGTCTGACTATATATGTTGGTGAAGCATCAGAGTCTTTCATGACATTTCTTGTAAATTCTATGATGGGTTGGACCACTGGCCTAATGAAAGTGCTATTAGGAAATGAAAAACTAGGGGATCTTCAAGGTTTCCAGTAGGAAAGGACTGGGTCTCGCATTTCCCACTATCCTAAAAAAGCTCTTTTACATGGCTTTAGAAAAACTGTAGATGTATGTTTGAAACAGAAACTTCAAGACTTCAAAGTGAAAACTAATATTTGGGGTCATACCGACATATTTACAGCGGTAGTGCCAATAGGTGCAGCTTCTCTGAATGCAATGAATCTATACAACTGCTTCCACTGGGTTGAATTTGGCCCTGCATGCTTAATTTGTCCCATTGTGTGGAACTGCAGCAGGGCCTTCTGATTAGCCCATGATGCAATTTGCCATGACCTACAAATCAATTTTGAAGTTCCCTAGTCTTGTTGGCTTCAGTCATAATTTCTATGTTGCTGAAACCTAGTTCTGAAAAAAGAGAGGATCTGTTGCTACACCAATTCACCAGCGGTGAATCCCTGCTTTCTTACATCAACGAAGCGGAATGGGCAAAGCAGCGGGCAGAAAGTCTGCAGTTAGTTTCTCTCTTTGTATTGTAGCATTTCTTTTCATATCACATTCTTCATAGACAATACCACAAAATACTTTGCACATGAAGCAGTCATATAATCTAGAAAGAAAATTAAGGTTTTAGGGCAAATTTTAAAGAAAACTAATTCAGTAGCTCGTGGAGTATTAAAGAAAGCTGGAGCGACAAACACTGGAAGAGCAATCTTTTAAAGCTTTATTGATGGCAAAGGGGAAAGTGATACTGTAGGCAAGCCAATATAGTTTTTGCTGGGGGAACAAATTAAAGTTCAACATTGGAAAATCATTTTTGATGACTGGGTGCATGAAAGCAAATTAGTCAGGAAATAAATCATGCCAGACTGAAGAAGAAAAGGTTCTCCAGGATGGTCTCAAACTTCTATAAGTAAAAATAAAGGAAAGATGGGTTTCTTCTCCAGAAACTGCTCCTGCAGTAATGAAATGAGTTCAGTCTCACCACCCCATGTATTTTTAAGAGCTCAGTGTTTTTATAAAAACACAAACACTTACACTTTCAGAGAACTGAATACTTAGCAGAATGTCCATTCATTGCTGTATCTAATTTCCTTATTCAATATTTTATTAACACTGAGCTACACAGTGGCTGCTCTGAAGAAGTTATAAGTCTAGAAAACAATTTTTTCCCCACAAAACACATCGGCACAGTCAGAATGTCCCTGGGCACAATTATGAGGGCAGTGTAAATCCAAAGCAACATCAGGATTTAGTCTAGATTTATGCTTCTCTTATTGAGATCACAGTTGGTCTTATTAGTGCATGAAGTGGAGTATACACTACGGTGGCTGGGCAGACCTTCACTGACCACAAGCAACGGAGAATGTGGCTGGGATGAGTGGTGCATGACCAGGGCCAAAACAATGCTTTTTAGGGCCTCCTTCCCATTGTCACTTAGTGGTGTTCAATGGCCAATGCTCAAGGAAAGCACACACAACTTATTCTTCGGGGGAGGAGGGGGGAAGCAGGATGGCTCCAGTGACTGTTGTTCAGATGATGCACCTTAGACAGAAATGTGGCTGCAAAAGCCACAATGAAGCTTTTTTGTCCATAAATTCGTCCAATTTTACAGATACTCCCAGCTCTCTAATGATGTCAATGTCCTAAGCTATGAGGACATTTTTCCGAAGGGCAAGGAATACATTTTCATAGAGAAACCTTAAAAGACTAAAGAATCTTGAGGAAAGAAAGTGGGGTTTCATGCATGATCTCAGCATTCAAGATTGTTATAGTGGAGACTTTGCATCAAGATTGCAAATGAAATTTTAAATTTCTCAGTGATCTGTAACAAAAAAAGTTTTAAAAAATGCCTGAAAAATCTATTTACAAATCCATTTATTTTGCCAGCAAAAATAATAAAGCTGTATGTCATAATAAATCTGATCCCTTATGCAATAAATAACCATAGGCACATTACAAATCTCAGAGTCATTCATTCACTCCGTACCTGTGAAGAGGATGTTGCTCGTTTTTCCATTTTAATAATTCGTGGCATTTATATAGCTCTTACATTTTCAAAGCCTGTGCACACTTTACTTAATATTAGATTTTCTAAGGCCACCCAGAGCGCAATCTCTGGATCCTTCTCCGACAGGACTGCCTTTTTCCACTGCACCTTCCAGCTCAGCATCCCAGAGGGAATTTGCTGGGGGCGCCTGGTAGTCTCAAAAAATGTGTTTCCGGGCAGGGGAAAGGCAGCTCTTTTCAGGCACATTTCTCCCACACCCAACCCGTCTTCGCCACTACCCGATGCCCCCTTAACAGATGGGGGCGGGGAGGGAAGTTTCTCTCAACTTTTCAGCTGAGAGATCCCTCCCAGAACTGTCCAGGCGCCTCCTCTCCCGCCCACGCCCCTTTTTTTTATTCCAACCAATCCCGAGCAGAGCTGTAGAGGAAACAGAAGCGGCGATTGGCCAGAGCGGAGGTTCTATGCCCCGCCTGCTGTGTGGTTGTGAATGGGGGAAGGGGCGGGGTTCCGTGGAATCCTGAGACATATATGTATCTTTTTTGTGTGCCATTAGTTGGACTGGAGACGCTCGCTAGCCCGAAGACGTTGTAGTGGCTGCTGTACCCTCGCTTCGGACTGTACCCGCTGCAGAGCGTTTCGCCGGCCCTGTGAATTGAGAAGGAGCCTAGAGGGGAAACCGTCGGAGCCAGAGGGAGAACCGCGCCGTAACTGGATTTTGACAGTTAATTAAGCCCCCCAGTAAAGGACACAGATCAGTCGGGCGAACTAATAATCCGTTTAACTGTAACCTGAAGCCCAAGCTGTAGGGCTGAGCAGCCAGGCGGGGAGCGGAGCCAGCCAGGGATTTTCTGCACAGGCGGCGAAACACTTTGCCGAGATTTGTGGGGGTTTTGTTTCTCTCCCCGCGCCCGCGTTTTGACAGTTAATTAAGCCCCCCAGTAAAGGACACAGATCAGTCGGGCGAACTAATAATCCGTTTAACTGTAACCTGAAGCCCAAGCTGTAGGGCTGAGCAGCCAGGCGGGGAGCGGAGCCAGCCAGGGATTTTCTGCACAGGCGGCGAAACACTTTGCCGAGATTTGTGGGGGTTTTGTTTCTCTCCCCGCGCCCGCGGGGGGCCTCTCAGGAAACTTCGCGGGAGGGCTGGACGTCGGGGACAAGCCCCCCGACCCGTGGAAAACAGCAGTAGTGCGGCTGGGATTGAACAAGGACTCTCCGGCCCCTGGCAAGCGCACCGCAGAGCTTCTCTGCTGATGTTCCGGCCCTGAAGGGCTCCCCGCGCCTCTGCTCCCTCCGGCTGCCCCAGCAATGTGGCCTGTAACAGCTGCTTCTCTGGGCCTGGCCGTCCTGCTGGCCGCCCTCCTAGGCTCGGCGGCCCAGCAGTACCACGGCGAGAAGGGCATCTCGGTGCCGGACCACGGCTTCTGCCAACCCATCTCCATCCCGCTGTGCACCGACATCGCCTACAACCAGACCATCATGCCCAACCTGCTGGGCCACACCAACCAGGAGGACGCGGGGCTGGAGGTGCACCAGTTCTACCCGCTGGTGAAGGTGCAGTGCTCGGCCGAGCTCAAGTTCTTCCTGTGCTCCATGTACGCGCCGGTGTGCACGGTGCTGGAGCAGCCCATCCCGCCCTGCCGCTCCCTGTGCGAGGGCGCCCGCCAGG